CCCGCGAGGTGTTCGCGCCAGGACCGGGTGTCCTGCTGCGACCTGGGGGATAAGGGACGGTCCCGGCGGCATCCGGGCAGGGAAAGGCACCCTCCTCGCGACGCCCCGCATGGCCCATCTCCGCCTCGCCACTCTTCATCCTTTCATTTATTCATTCATCATTCGTTCCCCGCGATATCGACTTCCAGTCCTGATTGTCCCCGACCCAAAGGTTGACTTTCGCTGCGGCCCCTGGAGGGCCAGACTCTTTCCTCTCGCTGCCGAATCCGCACTTGTAGCGGCCCGCGGCTGCGGGGAGGCAGCTCGGAGCTGTCTCAGCACGACGCAGCCTCCCCCGGGCGCCAGGCCCATCCCGGTTGGGCGGGCTGGGGCCGGTCTCCTGGCCTCGAGACCTGGTCCAAAGTCGCCTTGGGAGGAAGGGATAAAGAGGCAGGGCAGACAGGAGATGGCGCTGCACACATAACATCCAGAATTGTGGTTTCTGCTCCTTGAGGTCTTGGGGTTCTAGGGGTGACACTATTTGGGGGAACCTGTCAGTTCCTGCCCCGGTCCAGGTTCCAAGCCGCACAGCCTGAGGTCCGGTACAGCCTGGCATCCTCAGCCAGCTAGCACTGGAGCAGGTAGGGTGAATGTGTGAGCCTTGTGTCCAAATCAGCCCGAGACACACAGGGGTGTGGACCCCAGCGGGGGTCCCTCTGCCGTATCCTCAGAGGGACTGGTGGGGCTCCACTGCGCTGTCATTTGTGTCTCTGCTCTGCTTGCCGCCCCACTCACTAGGCTTGATTGTTTCAAGGTGCCCCTCCTTGCAGGGGGCCAGGCTCCTAGGGAACGAGAGAGGGTGCCCTGGCAACCTGATGTCTTCACCCCATGTCCACCTGTAGCCGGCTCTAAAGTCTGGCTCTTTTCAGAGCAAAGACTTATGGCCTTGCTAGGAGAGGTAGAATAAAGGGTGTCCATCCCATTCTTCAGTGAGGAGTCAGTGTGCCCCTCCTTCTTTTTTCTTTTTCTTTTCTTTTTTTTTTTTTTTTTTTTTGAGACAGAGTCTCACTCTGTCACCCAGGCTGGAGTGCTGTGGTGCAATCGTGGCTCACTGCAACCTCTGCCTCCCAGGTTCAAGTGATCCTCCTGCCTCAGCCTCCTGAGTAGCTGGGATTACAGGCATCCACCACCATGCCCAGCTAATTATTGTATTTTTAGTAGAGATGGGGTTTCACCATGCTGGCCAGGCTGGTCTTGAACTCCTGACCTCATGTGATCCACCCACCTCAGCCTCCCAAAGTGCTAGGATTATAGGGAATATGATGTGAGCCATGTGCCTGGCCCCCTCCATAGTCTTCTGATCAGGCTGGCTGGAGACCATGCTGCAGACACTTAGGTTTAAGTTTTAGTTTGGCAGGCATTGAGTGGGCACCTCTGGGGCAAATGGGCAGGTCCAGAGGGGAAAGCTGACAGAGGCCCCACTGAGCTTCCAGGAGAGTTTAGGCTGGGGCCAAATAGAAGTTCTCCTTCCCAACTTCCCCTTGGGAGAATTTTCTGAATAGCCTGGAGAGGGTAGCTCAAACTCCATCTGTGCCTTGATGTTGCTGGCTGCTTTCAAATTTCTTTCTTTTGTTTTGAGATGGAGTTTTGCTCTTGTTACCCAGGCTGGAGTGCAATGGCGTGATCTCGGCTCACTACAAACTCCGCCTCCCAGGTTCAAGTGATTCTCCTGCGTCAGCCTCTCGAGTAGCTGGGATTACAGGCATGCACCACCACCCCTGGCTAATTTTGTATTTTTTAGTAGAGACAGGGTTTTTCCATGTTGCTCAGGCTGGTCTCCAACTCTCGACCTCAGGTGATCTGCCTGCCTTGGCCTCTCAAAGTGCTGGGATTACAGGTGTGAGCCACCACACCTGGCCTCAAATTTCTAAATTTAGCAAGTCCCCAAAGCTTCGGCACAGACCAGAGAGACTTGCATTGCTAATTCATCCACCTAGGGTGCTCCTGTGATCCCCTGAGGTTGAGGTCAGCAGTACCCAAGGTAGGTTGCTGCCAACTGGCCTCTTTGAAGCTCTCCCATGAGCTGCTGAGCTGTTAGTGCCTCCTGGGGGGCTCCACCCTGCCCCTAACCTGCTTAGGGTCGCTCTGGTCCTTGCCTGCCACGCCACGGACCATGTTTATCAGCTGGAGGGAAGAGCCTTACTCAGAATCAGAAGTGAGTTCTAAGCCTCAGGCTGTTCCTGTTTTGCTGCGACTTGGGACAAATCACTTCCGCTTTCTGGGCCTGCTTTATACCATAAGGTAAGGAGATTGGACTGTACGTTCCCTAAAGGCCTTCTGCATGCAGTCATCCAGTGATTATGCTAACTAGAGACTTCTAGCAACTTCTGGGGAAGTTTGTCTACACTCAGGCTACAGTATTTTCAGCAAACGTGATTGGACAAGTGGGCCTGTGCCTTATATTTTGGTGGAGTGAAAAAATTTGAGCCAGTGAAGCCAAATCCTTATAGCAAGCAGCATGTAGCATACCTGGCTCTTTGCTGATTGCAAATAGGCATTTCAAATATGAATTTGAGCCAGGCACATTGGCTCACACCTCTAATCCCAACGCTTTGGGAGGCCGAGGCGGGTGGATCATCTGAGGTTAGGAGTTCAAGACCAGCCTGGCCAACATGGTGAAACCTCATCTCTACTAAAAATACAAAAATTAGCCAGGTGTGGTGGTGCATGCCTG